CATGGCCGATGCCGTCGGCACCTTCGTGGGAGGCTTCTTGGGAACCAGCTCCGTGACCACCTACGGCGAGTCCATGGCCGGCGTCTACGAAGGTGGCCGAACAGGGCTCACGGCTCTGGTCATCGCTTTCATGAACTTCATCTGCATCTTCCTTACCCCGCTCCTTTCCTCGGTTCCCACCCTCTCCACCGGCCCCGCACTGGTGATGGTGGGCGTCTTCATGATTGAGGGCGTGAAGGACATCGACTGGACCGACTACATGCAGGCCATCCCCTCCACTATTTGCATTCTGCTGCAGATCACTACGTACAAGATCGAGGTCGGCGTGCTGGGTGCCCTGATGGTCTGGGCCTTCCTGATGATCTTCTCCGGCCGTGTCTTCTTGTACAATGACAAGGTTTGGAACTCCATGCCGGGATGGTTCCAGAACTTCGTTGCCAACCAGAACGGCGACGAGGAGTTCCGCAATCGCCTGAGGGAGGTCGGCAAGCTTCCGCCGGCCGAAGACAAGATGCCCGCAGAAATGCAGGCCTAGGTCCCAAAACTGCGCCGATTTTCCCCCTGATGCTGTAACTCCTGCTGGAAGTCCTGAAAGGTCTTGCAGCAGGGTTGTCACTCGAATTGTCTCGTGGCCACGCTTGGTGCACACGAGTATCCTAGATGCTGCGCGAAGAAGCTTCGCAGAGACTGCAGCGTCTCGGATAGAGATTCCCTGCCAGGTGGAGCTGGAGAGAAGCAGGGAACCTGTCTTAGGTTGCAGGACTGAACAAAAGTTCAGCCTTGTCGCAAAGTTTGTTTTGACCACAAGATGTGATCTTCCCTGGCGCTGTCAGCTCGGATTTGCCTGAGGCAAATTTTTCTGAGGCTGGTCAGAGAGCCTTTCTGTTCACCTTGTGACGTCGGATCCCTCTGCAGCTGGCTCAGGCCAGTCGGCTCCCGCTCATCAGCACGGCAAAAGCAATGGCAGTGGCTGGGTTCCATCCCAAGAGTCGCAGAAGACCAGACGATCGCCGTCTGGTGGTGTGACCTTGTGTCATGGTGTTGTGAAGCTTGCTTCTGCTTCATGCATTGCGAAAGAAGAAGCCAGACAACGAGTATTTTCGCAAGTAACGTCAATCTAGAGGGTAGGCAGATGTTGGAATTTTCTACACAGGCCATCGTTACAGTCGGACGGTTGGACTTGTGGCCGGGAGACGTCGGCAGCACCGTCTCCCTGAAGCTTGCCGACGTGTTGAACATGGTGAATGTTGCGCACTGCCCGGGCTCCAGCGCAGAACACCACTAGCGGGACTTGTCTTGGTGCGCTTTCGTCGCAAACCATGGCAGAGGCAGCGGAGGTGGATTTCAATGTGGGGGCCAAAGGCAGCTCTGGCCCAACCGAGGAATGTATTCTAGAGTGGCTGGAGACTAGGACGCGGACAAGCGATTGAGACCAACACGTAAGTCACGAAGGCAGGCCCACATGCACCCACCTGACTCAGAAACACATGTTCATTGCTGGTGTTCATTTTCCGAAGTTGTTTTCTCAAGGAAGGCAGCCCTCCTAAGCTAATGTGCCGGGCGCTGTCAGAAAGCTGTGTGCAAATCCGATGAGGCAAGAAGCAGCTGGTGGACAACAAGCTGGACACGATGTTCCGGGGCGGCAAGGTGGACAACTACTTCAAGGCCTTCCCATGCCTTCCCCAAATTTAAGAGAATCCTCTCCAGCATGGTAAGAGTATCATCCAGAAGACAAGCTGGGTGTGTGGATAACCCGGTTCTAGAATAAGCAGCAGCGGCAGGTCTCCCAGCGTGGGTCAAACCTGACCACCGAAATCCGTGCTGGCATCACCACCTTCTTGACGGCAGCCTACATTATGGCCGTGTCTCGTCCATCCGGTGCAGGTATTCGAGGATGCAGCTCTTTGGAAGACTTGTGTGTTTGGAGAGCTTGCACGCGTCTTGGGACGGGTCGTGTCGTTGCACTTTCGAGTCCGTGGGTTGATGATCTATGGATGTGTGGCTCTCTGTTGGTGTGAGCCTTCCTACTTGTAGTGACTGCCAAAGCGGCGGCAGAACTTGTCAGTGGGTTTGCTGTGTGGGGAGAGCGGGCCGCAGTTCCCTGTCATTTTACCCATCGCAGGGTCCAGCATGCGATGAGGTGAACCCCAACATTCTGAGCACCACGGGGCTGAAGTTCGAAGGCCTGGTTTTCGCGACAGCTGGGTCAAGCTGCATTGCGATCCTCGGCTGGCTGCAGGATAGGATCGCGGATTCGGCTTTCGTGTTAGAGAAGTTGAGGGCTCGCCAGGTCGCGATGGGTTTTGATGCATGGCTCCGGTAGGCTTCGATGGAGGAACCTTCGTTTTCAGCTCGTAGTGGCCTGGAGTCCGGAGGGTGCGAGAGGGCCAGCCGAGGACCTTGATCATGGCCCTGTGGGCGAACCTGCCTTTCGGCTTGTGGCCCGGCATGGGCATGAACGCCTACTTTGCATACACCATCGTGGGCTTCAAGGGTGGGCAGAACTCTGTGAAGAAGGTGATGTTTGCCGTGACCATCGAAGGTGTGATCTTCATTCTGATGTCCCTCTTCGATCTCCGCAGATATGTCTTCAAGGTGTTCCCCACCTGGATGATGAAAGCGACGATGGCCGGCATCGGCTTGTTCTTGGCCTTCATCGGCTTGCAGGCGGGCAACGGCATCGACATCGTGCGGGATCATCCGGCTGTGCTGGTGGACCTCGTGACGCTGACCGGAGAGCACTTCCTGCGCACGTGGATCGGCATCGCTTTCTTCTGCCTCATGAGCCTTTTGATCCTCCTGCGCGTGCGGGCGGCCGTGATGATCGTGATCCTGCTTAGCGCCATACTGTCGTGGATCTTGAACGCGGCTGCCGTGGAGCAGTTCACCTACAAGCCCATGTGCTGCCTGGGCAGCGTGTCGTACACGGAGCCGTCGGCCGGGGGTGTGGAGTGGTATCCGAAGCCCGGCGGCGGATTTTACCCGAAGCCCACGTGCGAGAACCCGTACACTGTGCCAGGACAGGGCAAGATGGAGGAGACAGACTCGGGCGTGAGCTTCAGTTGGGATTCCACGGCCTCTGTGGCGCTTTCGAACGGTGTCTACACCATCACCAATGCTGGCTCCTCGGTGAACCACACAGGCAGCCTCTACTTCGAGGGCATCGCAGCTGGCCGCGACTCCTCCTTCAATGGCGGCTGCACCGACACCTGCCATGCCATGATGGGTGGCTTCAATCCTGCCTGCTTCGGCACGGTACTGGTCGAGACAGGCTGCTGGACTTCCATGTCCTACCAGAGCCGAGCCACACAATCGCTTGTCCTTGACGAGTTCGGCGAGGGCTGCATCGGTGGGGCGGGCCGTATCCCGAAGACTTTCAGCGCCCCCTCCGCCATCGCCTCCGTTCCGCTCATCGAGATGGCCGGAGACCTGGTGGCTCCTTTCGACGGCTGGTACGGCTGCGATGCGAACGGCGACTGCTTCGCCGGCGACGTGTCGGGTGGCACGATCCTCGCTTGGGACACGTCGGGCTTCAGCGACTGGCAAGGCTTCTGGAACCCGCTGCTCACCCTACTGTACATCGACTTCATCGGCACGATGGGCTTCCTCTACGCAGCCGCGGACCTGAGTGGCTTGGTCGACCCGAAAAAGCCGGAGACCTTCCCAGGATGCTATGCGGCCTTCATGGCCGATGCCGTCGGCACCTTCGTGGGAGGCTTCTTGGGAACCAGCTCCGTGACCACCTACGGCGAGTCCATGGCCGGCGTCTACGAAGGTGGCCGAACAGGGCTCACGGCTCTGGTCATCGCTTTCATGAACTTCATCTGCATCTTCCTTACCCCGCTCCTGTCCTCGGTTCCCACCCTCTCCACCGGCCCCGCACTGGTGATGGTGGGCGTCTTCATGATTGAGGGCGTGAAGGACATCGACTGGACCGACTACATGCAGGCCATCCCCTCCACTATTTGCATTCTGCTGCAGATCACCACGTACAAGATCGAGGTCGGCGTGCTGGGTGCCCTGATGGTCTGGGCCTTCCTGATGATCTTCTCCGGCCGTGTCTTCTTGTACAATGACAAGGTTTGGAACTCCATGCCGGGATGGTTCCAGAACTTCGTTGCCAACCAGAACGGCGACGAGGAGTTCCGCAATCGCCTGAGGGAGGTCGGCAAGCTGCCGCCGGCCGAAGACAAGATGCCCGCAGAAATGCAGGCCTAGGTCCCAAAACTGCGCCGATTTTCCCCCTGATGCTGTAACTCCTGCTGGAAGTCCTGAAAGGTCTTGCAGCAGGGTTGTCACTCGAATTGTCTCGTGGCCACGCTTGGTGCACACGAGTATCCTAGATGCTGCGCGAAGAAGCTTCGCAGAGACTGCAGCGTCTCGGATAGAGATTCCCTGCCAGGCGGAGCTGGAGAGAAGCAGGGAACCTGTCTTAGGTTGCAGGACTGAACAAAAGTTCAGCCTTGTCGCAAAGTTTGTTTTGACCACAAGATGTGATCTTCCCTGGCGCTGTCAGCTCGGATTTGCCTGAGGCAAATTTTTCTGAGGCTGGTCAGAGAGCTTTTCTGTTCACCTTGTGACGTCGGATCCCTCTGCAGCTGGCTCAGGCCAGTCAGCTCACGCTCATCAGCACGACAAAAGCAATGGCAGTGGCTGGGTTCCATCCCAAGAGTCGCAGAAGACCGGACGATCGCCGTCTGGTGGTGTGACCTTGCGTCATGGTGTTGTGAAGCTTGCTTCTGCTTCATGCATTGCGAAAGAAGAAGCCAGACAACGAGTATTTTCGCAAGTAACGTCAATGTAGAGGGTAGGCAGATGTTGGAATTCTCTACACAGGCCATCGTTACAGTCGGACGGTTGGACTTGTGGCCGGGAGACGTCGGCAGCACCGTCTCCCTGAAGCTTGCCGACGTGTTGAATGGTGAATGTTGCGCACTGCCCGGGCTCCAGCGCAGAACACCATTAGCGGGACTTGTCTTGGTGCGCTTTCGTCGCAAACCATGGCAGAGGCAGCGGAGGTGGATTTCAATGTGGGGGCCAAGGGCAGCTCTGGCCCAACCGAGGAATGTGTTCCAGAGTGGTTATAGACTAGGACGCGGACAAGCTGTTGAGACCAACACGTAAGTCACGAAGGCAGGCCCACATGCACCCACCTGACTCAGAAACAGAGCTTTATTGCTGGTGTTCATTTTCCGAAGTTGTTTTCTCAAGGAAGGCAGCCCTCCTAAGCTGACGTGCCGGGCGCTGTCAGAAAGCTGTATGCACATCCGATGAGGCAAGAAGCAGCTGGTGGACAACAAGCTGGACACGATGTTCCGGGGCGGCAAGGTGGACAACTACTTCAAGGCCTTCCCATGCCTTCCCCAAATTTAAGAGAATCCTCTCCAGCATGGTAAGAGTATCATCCAGAAGACAAGCTGGGTGTGTGGATAACCCGGTTCTAGAATAAGCAGCAGCGGCAGGTCTCCCAGCGTGGGTCAAACCTGACCACCGAAATCCGTGCTGGCATCACCACCTTCTTGACGGCAGCCTACATTATGGCCGTGTCTCGTCCAGCAGGTGCAGGTATTCGAGGATGCAGCTCTTTGGAAGACTTGTGGGTTTGGAGAGCTTGCACGCGTCTTGGGACGGGTCGTGTCGTTGCACTTTCAAGTCCGTGGGTTGATGATCTATGGATGTGTGGCTCTCTGTTGGTGTGAGCCTTCCTGCTTGTAGTGACTGCCAAAGCGGCAGCAGAACTTGTCAGTGGGTTTCTCGTGTGGGGAGAGCGGGCCGCAGTTCCCTGTCATTTTACCCATCGCAGGGTCCAGCATGCGATGAGGTGAACCCCAACATTCTGAGCACCACGGGGCTGAAGTTCGAAGGCCTGGTTTTCGCGACAGCTGGGTCAAGCTGCATTGCGATCCTCGGCTGGCTGCAGGATAGGATCGCGGATTCGGCTTTCGTGTTAGAGAAGTTGAGGGCTCGCCAGGTCGCGATGGGTTTTGATGCATGGCTCCGGTAGGCTTCGATGGAGGAACCTTCGTTTTCAGCTCGTAGTGGCCTGGAGTCCGGAGGGTGCGAGAGGGCCAGCCGAGGACCTTGATCATGGCCCTGTGGGCGAACCTGCCTTTCGGCTTGTGGCCCGGCATGGGCATGAACGCCTACTTTGCATACACCATCGTGGGCTTCAAGGGTGGACAGAACTCTGTGAAGAAGGTGATGTTTGCTGTAACCATCGAAGGTGTGATCTTCATTCTGATGTCCCTCTTCGATCTCCGCAGATATGTCTTCAAGGTGTTCCCTACCTGGATGATGAAAGCGACGATGGCCGGCATCGGCTTGTTCTTGGCCTTCATCGGCTTGCAGGCGGGCAACGGCATCGACATCGTGCGGGATCATCCGGCTGTGCTGGTGGACCTCGTGACGCTGACCGGAGAGCACTTCCTGCGCACGTGGATCGGCATCGCTTTCTTCTGCCTCATGAGCTTGTTGATCCTCCTGCGCGTGCGGGCGGCCGTGATGATCGTGATCCTGCTCAGCGCCATCCTGTCGTGGATCTTGAACGCGGCTGCCGTGGAGCAGTTCACCTACAAGCCCATGTGCTGCCTGGGCAGCGTGTCGTACACGGAGCCGTCGGCCGGGGGTGTGGAGTGGTATCCGAAGCCCGGCGGCGGATTTTACCCGAAGCCCACGTGCGAGAACCCGTACACTGTGCCAGGACAGGGCAAGATGGAGGAGACAGACTCGGGCGTGAGCTTCAGTTGGGATTCCACGGCCTCTGTGGCGCTTTCGAACGGTGTCTACACCATCACCAATGCTGGCTCCTCGGTGAACCACACAGGCAGCCTCTACTTCGAGGGCATCGCAGCTGGCCGCGACTCCTCCTTCAATGGCGGCTGCACCGACACCTGCCATGCCATGATGGGTGGCTTCAATCCTGCCTGCTTCGGCACGGTACTGGTCGAGACAGGCTGCTGGACTTCCATGTCCTACCAGAGCCGAGCCACACAATCGCTTGTCCTTGACGAGTTCGGCGAGGGCTGCATCGGTGGGGCGGGCCGTATCCCGAAGACTTTCAGCGCCCCCTCCGCCATCGCCTCCGTTCCGCTCATCGAGATGGCCGGAGACCTGGTGGCTCCTTTCGACGGCTGGTACGGCTGCGATGCGAACGGCGACTGCTTCGCCGGCGACGTGTCGGGTGGCACGATCCTCGCTTGGGACACGTCGGGCTTCAGCGACTGGCAAGGCTTCTGGAACCCGCTGCTCACCCTGCTGTACATCGACTTCATCGGTACGATGGGCTTCCTCTACGCAGCCGCGGACCTGAGTGGCTTGGTCGACCCGAAAAAGCCGGAGACCTTCCCAGGATGCTATGCGGCCTTCATGGCCGATGCCGTCGGCACCTTCGTGGGAGGCTTTTTGGGAACCAGCTCCGTGACCACCTACGGCGAGTCCATGGCCGGCGTCTACGAAGGTGGCCGAACAGGGCTCACGGCTCTGGTCATCGCTTTCATGAACTTCATCTGCATCTTCCTTACCCCGCTCCTGTCCTCGGTCCCCACCCTCTCCACCGGCCCCGCACTGGTAATGGTGGGCGTCTTCATGATTGAGGGCGTGAAGGACATCGACTGGACCGACTACATGCAGGCCATCCCCTCCACTATCTGCATTCTGCTGCAGATCACTACGTACAAGATCGAGGTCGGCGTGCTGGGTGCCCTGATGGTCTGGGCCTTCCTGATGATCTTCTCCGGCCGTGTCTTCTTGTACAACGACAAGGTTTGGAACTCCATGCCGGGATGGTTCCAGAACTTCGTTGCCAACCAGAACGGCGACGAGGAGTTCCGCAATCGCCTGAGGGAGGTCGGCAAGCTGCCGCCGGCCGAAGACAAGATGCCCGCAGAAATGCAGGCCTAGGTTCCAAAACTGCGCCGATTTTCCCCCTGATGCTGTAACTCCTGCTGGAAGTCCTGAAAGGTCTTGCAGCAGGGTTGTCACTCGAATTGTCTCGTGGCCACGCTTGGTGGACACGAGTATCCTAGATGCTGCGCGAAGAAGCTTCGCAGAGACTGCAGCGTCTCGGATAGAGATTCCCTGCCAGGCGGAGCTGGAGAGAAGCAGGGAACCTGTCTTAGGTTGCAGGACTGAACAAAAGTTCAGCCTTGTCGCAAAGTTTGTTTTGACCACAAGATGTGATCTTCCCTGGCGCTGTCAGCTCGGATTTGCCTGAGGCAAATTTTTCTGAGGCTGGTCAGAGAGCTTTTCTGTTCACCTTGTGACGTCGGATCCCTCTGCAGCTGGCTCAGGCCAGTCAGCTCACGCTCATCAGCACGACAAAAGCAGTGGCAGTGGCTGGGTTCCATCCCAAGAGTCGCAGAAGACCGGACGATCGCCGTCTGGTGGTGTGACCTTGTTTCATGGTGTTGTGAAGCTTGCTTCTGCTTCATGCATTGCGAAAGAAGAAGCCAGACAACGAGTATTTTCGCAAGTAACGTCAATGTAGAGGGTAGGCAGATGTTGGAATTCTCTACACAGGCCATCGTTACTGTCGGACGGTTGGACTTGTGGCCGGGAGACGTCGGCAGCACCGTCTCCCTGAAGCTTGCCGACGTGTTGAACATGGTGAATGTTGCGCACTGCCCGGGCTCCAGCGCAGAACAACATTAGCGGGACTTGTCTTGGTGCGCTTTCGTCGCAAACCATGGCAGAGGCAGCGGAGGTGGATTTCAATGTGGGGGCCAAGGGCAGCTCTGGCCCAACCGAGGAATGTGTTCCAGAGTGGTTATAGACTAGGACGCGGACAAGCTGTTGAGACCAACACGTAAGTCACGAAGGCAGGCCCACATGCACCCACCTGACTCAGAAACAGAGCTTTATTGCTGGTGTTCATTTTCCGAAGTTGTTTTCTCAAGGAAGGCAGCCCCTCCTAAGCTAACATGCCGGGCGCTCTCAGAAAGCTGTATGCAAATCCGATGAGGCAAGAAGCAGCTGGTGGACAACAAGCTGGACACGATGTTCCGGGGCGGCAAGGTGGACAACTACTTCAAGGCCTTCCCATGCCTTCCCCAAATTTAAGAGAATCCTCTCCAGCATGGTAAGAGTATCATCCAGAAGACAAGCTGGGTGTGTGGATAACCCGGTTCTAGAATAAGCAGCAGCGGCAGGTCTCCCAGCGTGGGTCAAACCTGACCACCGAAATCCGTGCTGGCATCACCACCTTCTTGACGGCAGCCTACATTATGGCCGTGTCTCGTCCAGCAGGTGCAGGTATTCGAGGATGCAGCTCTTTGGAAGACTTGTGGGTTTGGAGAGCTTGCACGCGTCTTGGGACGGGTCGTGTCGTTGCACTTTCAAGTCCGTGGGTTGATGATCTATGGATGTGTGGCTCTCTGTTGGTGTGAGCCTTCCCACTTGTAGTGACTGCCAAAGCGGCGGCAGAACTTGTCAGTGGGTTTGCTGTGTGGCGAGAGCGGGCCGCAGTTCCCTGTCATTTTACCCATCGCGGGGTCCAGCATCCAATGAGGTGAACCCCAACATTCTGAGCACCACGGGGCTGAAGTTCGAAGGCCTGGTTTTCGCGACAGCTGGGTCAAGCTGCATTGCGATCCTCGGCTGGCTGCAGGATATGATCGCGGATTCGGCTTTCGTGTTAGAGAAGTTGAGGGCTCGCCAGGTCGCGATGGGTTTTGATGCATGGCTCCGGTAGGCTTCGATGGAGGAGCCGTCGTTTTCAGCTCGTAGTGGCCTGGAGTCCGGAGGGTGCGAGAGGGCCAGCCGAGGACCTTGATCATGGCCCTGTGGGCGAACCTGCCTTTCGGCTTGTGGCCCGGCATGGGCATGAACGCCTACTTTGCATACACCATCGTGGGCTTCAAGGGTGGGCAGAACTCTGTGAAGAAGGTGATGTTTGCCGTGACCATCGAAGGTGTGATCTTCATTCTGATGTCCCTCTTCGACCTCCGCAGATATGTCTTCAAGGTGTTCCCCACCTGGATGATGAAAGCGACGATGGCCGGCATCGGCTTGTTCTTGGCCTTCATCGGCTTGCAGGCGGGCAACGGCATCGACATCGTGCGGGATCATCCGGCTGTGCTGGTGGACCTCGTGACGCTGACCGGAGAGCACTTCCTGCGCACGTGGATCGGCATCGCTTTCTTCTGCCTCATGAGCTTGTTGATCCTCCTGCGTGTGCGGGCGGCCGTGATGATCGTGATCCTGCTTAGCGCCATACTGTCGTGGATCTTGAACGCGGCTGCCGTGGAACAGTTCACCTACAAGCCCATGTGCTGCCTGGGCAGCGTGTCGTACACGGAGCCGTCGGCCGGGGGTGTGGAGTGGTATCCGAAGCCCGGCGGCGGATTTTACCCCAAGCCCACGTGCGAGAACCCGTACACTGTGCCAGGACAGGGCAAGATGGAGGAGACAGACTCGGGCGTGAGCTTCAGTTGGGATTCCACGGCCTCTGTGGCGCTTTCGAACGGTGTCTACACAATCACCAATGCTGGCTCCTCGGTGAACCACACTGGCAGCCTCTACTTTGAGGGCATCGCAGCTGGCCGTGACTCCTCCTTCAATGGCGGCTGCACCGACACCTGCCATGCCATGATGGGTGGCTTCAATCCTGCCTGCTTCGGTACGGTACTGGTCGAGACAGGCTGCTGGACTTCCATGTCCTACCAGAGCCGAGCCACACAATCGCTTGTCCTTGACGAGTTCGGCGAGGGCTGCATCGGTGGGGCGGGCCGTATCCCGAAGACTTTCAGCGCCCCCTCCGCCATCGCCTCCGTTCCGCTCATCGAGATGGCCGGAGACCTGGTGGCTCCTTTCGACGGCTGGTACGGCTGCGATGCGAACGGCGACTGCTTCGCCGGCGACGTGTCGGGTGGCACGATCCTCGCTTGGGACACGTCGGGCTTCAGTGACTGGCAAGGCTTCTGGAACCCGCTGCTCACCCTGCTGTACATCGACTTCATCGGTACGATGGGCTTCCTCTACGCAGCCGCGGACCTGAGTGGCTTGGTCGACCCGAAAAAGCCGGAGACCTTCCCAGGATGCTATGCGGCCTTCATGGCCGATGCCGTCGGCACCTTCGTGGGAGGCTTCTTGGGAACCAGCTCCGTGACCACCTACGGCGAGTCCATGGCCGGCGTCTACGAAGGTGGCCGAACAGGGCTCACGGCTCTGGTCATCGCTTTCATGAACTTCATCTGCATCTTCCTTACCCCGCTCCTGTCCTCGGTTCCCACCCTCTCCACCGGCCCCGCACTGGTGATGGTGGGCGTCTTCATGATTGAGGGCGTGAAGGACATCGACTGGACCGACTACATGCAGGCCATCCCCTCCACTATCTGCATTCTGCTGCAGATCACCACGTACAAGATCGAGGTCGGCGTGCTGGGTGCCCTGATGGTCTGGGCCTTCCTGATGATCTTCTCCGGCCGTGTCTTCTTGTACAACGACAAGGTTTGGAACTCCATGCCGGGATGGTTCCAGAACTTCGTGGCCAACCAGAACGGCGACGAGGAGTTCCGCAATCGCCTGAGGGAGGTCGGCAAGCTGCCGCCGGCTGACGAGAAGATGCCGGCAGAAATGCAGGCCTAGGTCGAAAATCTGCGCCGAATTTTCCCTTTGATTTCTGTACCTCATGCTGGAGCCCTGCTGCTGATGCTGCAGGTCTCATGGCTGAGTTTAGTCTGGCCACGTTTGGTGGACCCGGGTATCCTGGATGCTGCGAGACTCGCAGACTTCTAAAGGCTATCACAAGCCCAGTAATTGCCGCAGCGTCTGGGACAAAGGCCGTGAGGCTGAGGCCCAGGCCTTACTTACGTCAAAGTTTGCAGCGCTGAACAAACGTTCAGCTTTTGCAAAAAAGTGTGATCGGGAGATGTTCTCTTCCTTACAGCTTTTGGCAGCTCGGACTTGCCTGAGGCAACTGTCTGAGGTCAGAAAGCGGTTCTGTTCATCTGCCATCACGTCACATCCTCTTGTAGCTGGCTCAGGTCAGCCCGTTTGCACTCGGCATCAAAACGGCTACTGTACCCCGACACCCCAACTGCCGAACCGCAAGCCTGCGTTGTCAAAGTCGAAGCGCCCAGCCGCATCCACTAGTCATCTGCTCTCACGTAAGTGTCGCACGGCACGCAGATCCACACAGTCTCATGTCGTGCTGTGCTCACACCCTTCAAGCGGAATTACTTTTCTGCTGACCGTGTGGTGTGTGTGACGGATGAGTCCTCGAAACGCCTGAAATGCGATCCTCTGCGGCTCCAGCGCAGAATACCATCAGCGGCCCAATTCTAGTGTGCCTTTGCCACGGTATCGGGTCCCCACCATGGCAGACGCGGCAGAGCTGGACTTCAAGGTGGGTGCCAAAGGCAGCTAGGCACAGTAATTTGACGATGAAGCAGATAGAGTTCTCCTAATTGGGGACTGCTTCTAAGAAAGTCCGGGGGGGTCTTTGCATATGCAGGCGCCCTTGTGTAAGTGACAGCCAGAAAGTTTCGCGAGATGGCTGTTTTCCCTCCCAGGCAAGAAGCAGTTGGTGGACAACAAGCTCGACACGATGTTTCGAGGCGGCAAGGTGGACAACTACTTCAAGGCACGGCTTTGACGGCGCCGTCTGGCTTTCCAGCTGTTCCGTCGGAGAGTCGAGTGTTGTCCCCGCAGGTCTCTCAACGTGGGTCAAACCTCACCACAGAGATCCGCGCTGGCATCACCACCTTCTTGACGGCTGCTTACATCATGGCTGTGGCTCGTCACTGAGACTCGGGTGGGGACGCCGGGAACTTGGCTTCGGATGAGATGTCCTTTCCCCCATGGATGTTCAAGCAGAGTGGCACCGAGCTTCTGGGAAGGGACATGTGTCTGTTTGTCGAATATGCACAACAGATCTGTTTGTAAAGATATATTAACAAATA